GAGGTAAAAGTTTTTGTTGGAGGTAAATATTGTCTCTACTTCTCTTGATATTAGAATTTTGTTGATTTTGTCAGTGACACCTTTGTAAGAAAAGATTTCGTATGGTGAGGATCTGAGTCTTTGGGTTGAGATTGAGTGGAAGATTGATGTCTGTAAATGCTCGTATTTATGTTATTTTCGTCGTAACTGTTTTCTATGAGGGCTTGTTTTAAGAGAGAGCTCAGTGGGTCTACTTTCATCATCGCAAAAAAGTATTGATCTGGAGACAAGCGGATTCATGACTGAATTAATTTGTGAAGTGGAATGATAAAAGTTGGCATGTAAGTAACTATTGGTATGGGTGAATTTTCGATAAACAGAGAGATTGGTGATTGATAAAACCTTGGGATTGATTTTTCTTTATATCATCGATAAACAGTAGGAATGAATCAGTTTTCACCTCCATCGTGAGCTGAATACTAGGATGTTTACTATTCTCATTAAACATTGTCATACGTCTTATGTCGTATCGTATACAATCTTATGTATAGGTTTATTTCCAATACCGCTTCCATATACGTATGTTTTGTTATCACGATTTTAATAACTTTTGAATCATATAAAAATATCTTGGGGTTGGTTACACTTTTAATATTATAGTTTACTTAAATAGAAAGAAACTGTTGTTTCTAATTCTTTCATGAAGCCAAATTGTGTCTTTCCGCTATTTCCTTTACATTTCAAGTATATTTAAGCACGTATGATGTAGGACTTGAAAAAAAACTTCCAGGTCACTATAATCTTTAGGATATAGCTTTTTCGAAATTGTTATGTCAAAACTCGAAGATGGATCTAGCTCTAGAGGATGAAGAAGAAATTAAGATTGAGCTTCTTCTTTGCGTGCCATATCAGAATTATTCGACGTTGGCGATCACCATTACGAAGGCTTTTTGATCTTTTGCAATATGGAATAATTATTGTACTGTATTTAATATCTGAGTCACGAATGTTTTTTAACCAAGAAACTTGTTTTCTTTCTACACCTCTACTTACTTACTTACTCCGTGGCGTTACAACCCTTCGTGGGTTTTAGAGGACTCGACAACATGCCTCCACTATTTTCTGTCTTGAGCAACCTCCATCCAATTCTCCACGTCCATAGTGCTTAGGTCTCCTGCTATATTATCTCGCCACCGGAGACGAGTGCGTCCGCGTTGTCTCCTTCCAGTTGGGACTTCCTCCCACACCAGTCTTACTGTTCGTCTACACCTTTACGGCCCTCTATTTTGCCTTTAAGGATCAGTTGTAATATTTTATATTGACTTCCCTTTACTATATGTCCCAGATAAGACATATTTCGATGTTTAAAAGGCTTTGGCAGTTCTCTATCTTTGTTGACGCCTCTTAGTACTTCTTCATTAGTTCTCCTTGCTGTCCAAGATGATCGATACTTTTAGCGTCGACACTTCTGCACTATACAAAAGTACGAACCAATAATATCACTTAACCATTTTTTGTCTTAGTTCTACACTGAGATTGTTATTGCAAAGAAATGACTTTATTTTCATAAACGTAGTTTTAGTCATTGTTATTCTACGTTTGTTATTTACGTTTATTTACAAGATTAAGCAAAAGACTAGAATAGTATTTGACTTAGCGTAAGGGATAATACAATATATATATATATATATATATATATATATATATATATATATATATATATATATATATGTATATATATATACAATATATATATATATATATATATATATATATATATATATATATATATTATGCAAGACATAGAGGAACGGGCAAAAAGAACAGCAGAATATATACCCAAACTATGGCTTAGATATGTGGACGACACTTTCATCATATGGACACATAGAGTAGACAAGCTTACTGCATTTCTAGAATACATTAACAGTATCCATCCCAAGATCAAGTTTACGATGGAATTAAAAAGTAATCAACAACTACCTTTCCTAGACGTCTTAATAATAAAGAAAGAAAACGGCAACATTGGATATACAGTGTATCAAAAACCAACTCACACTGACAGATACCTACATGCAGATTCACACCACCATCCTGCACAATTGAATTCAGTCATAAAAACTTTGACTATAAGATCTGAACGACTAACAGACGAAGAACACAAGAAAGAAGAAATGCAGAAAGTTACAAAAGCGTTAAAAAACAACGGCTTTTCCACACACAGAATCGAAATGGCACGAAGACCACAAAAAACAACAAAAGAAGACGAAAAACCGATTGCCAAAACCACTCTACCGTATATTAAAGGCACAACAGAGAAGATAAGCAGGGTTCTGAGAAAACACAAAATAGAGACTGTCCTCAACACCGACAGAAAAATCGCAAACATATTACCATCTGCCAAGACAAAGATTCCCCTAGAAAACCAAGGAGTATACAAAATTCCCTGTGGAGAATGCGATAAAGCCTATATTGGACAGACAAATAGAAGGATCCAGGTAAGACAAGAAGAACATCGCAATGCCATCGAACGAAAAGAAACGACGTCATCCCTAGCTCAGCATTCTTTAGCTACAGGACACAAAATTGACCTCAAACATACGGTAATGACTGACCTGCGCACTGGACCAATTACAAGAGCGCGCGCAACGCACAGTAACTACAAAAGCCAGCTGCCTAACACCCGTAGCGTCACTTCCACTCGAACATCGACAAGAAGCAGACCATCCAGAGAGACTTGAAAATGGCAAGTGAGATCTTGCCGAAACGTCGTCAAAATGGTTTTTATCAAAACCAACAACATTTAACGCGGAGTCAAACCCGAATACCATTGATATAATATATATATATATATATATATATATTATATATATATATATATATATATATATATATATATATATATATATATAACAAACAACAAAGTTTATTGGGGCTGCAGTCAGAAGTTTGGCAGGGATGTTACAGAAACACTCTTTTGACTTTTGGTCTAGCTTTCGGAATTGTTTAATTCCTTTATCAAGACACTGTAATTAGAAAAATGTGTAAATATTTACAATATATCACAAAATATCAGTGTACTTACTAGTCGTTGAGATTATTTGTACGAAGCTATGACACTCAACATTAATAACAAACATATACACTAAAACTAAAATGTAAAACGTTAATGTTGAGTGTCATAGCTTCGTACAAATAATCTCAACGACTAGTAAGTACACTGATATTTTGTGATATATTGTAAATATTTACACATTTTTCTAATTACAGTGTCTTGATAAAGGAATTAAACAATTCCGAAAGCTAGACCAAAAGTCAAAAGAGTGTTTCTGTAACATCCCGGCCAAACTTCTGACTGCAGCCCCAATAAACTTTGTTGTTTGTTTAAATTGACAGTCACGAATATCAGTATTCATTATATATATATATATATATATATATATATATATATATATATATATATATATATATAGTGAAAAGGAGATAATACTGGGAAGTACCCTTTTATAACTGAGGAAGCAAAATAAAACTAGGGTGCTTCGTTCGATGTGCTTTTAATTAAAGGTCTAAGCTTTCGTCAATGATTATTGACATCATCAGAGTAAACTACAAACAAACGAGAGAACAAACAATGAACAAGTGGAACCTAAGTATACAAATTTATAAAACACTTACCCTAATTCTAGCAAGTAACTCAGTGACTTGGGTTGAACACAAAGAAAGTATTGTCTATGTATATATTAAACCTAGTTGCAGAAATGGTATCCATAGTTTACAATGTGTTTTTTATTTAATTATAAACGATATATTTACTATAAATCTAACCACAAACAATTTAAAAATTTTACTAGTTTAAAAACAATCTAAAAGTAATTAACAATTATCGGCGGTGTCACTAAACTTGTTTGAACTAGCGGGATAATTTAAAATGTAAACATGACATATATAATCTAAAATGTTAACAACGAATACTGAAATACCGTTATCATCCTTTTGGTTATATATATATATATATATATATATATATATATATATATATATATATATATATATATATATATTATATATATATATATATATATATATATATATATATATATATATATATATATATATATCAGTTTTAGTTGTCCGATGCCTAACTTCCACGTCCTTCTATCATCCCATTGGCCGTCTCTAAGATCTCTTGTACTCATTGCTTTAGTTACCCCTTCTTTCCATGTCTTTTTGGGTCTTCCTCGTTTTTTGCGGTTTGGTGGTACCCACTGCATAATCTTCTTGGGTAGTCTTGTGTCTTCCATTCTTTGAACATGACCATACCAAATCAACTGTTTAATGTCTGTTGTTAAGTAACTATCTATTCCAATTATTCGTCTTACTTCCTCATTTCGAACTATTTCCCTGCGGGATATACCTAACGATCTTCTAAACACATCCATTTCTACAGCTTCTAATTTTTTTCTGTTATTCTCGGTTATTCTCCAAGTTTCTGCTCCGTAAAGTAGACTGCTTTTAATTAGTGACTCATAGATGTTATATTTTCGCTTTATTCTTATTTCAGAGCTCCAAAGTATTCCATTTAGGCAGCCAATTGTTCTTCTAGCTTGTGTAACCCTTTTCTTTATTTCCTCATCGTCTTTTCCCGTTTTATCGAAGATTACTCCCAGGTACGTATATTCACTACAGGATGTGATTTCTTCATTATTCTCTAGTTCGATATTGGATAACTCAGCTCCTATGGGTAGGTATTTAGTTTTTTCTACATTTATTTCCAATCCCCACTGTTCATATTCCTTCTTTAGTTTTCTTGCCATATACTCTAAATCGTCTTTATCATTGGCTATGATGACTTGGTCATCAGCAAATTGTAAGGATAAATAATACACTATTCACCTAAAATATATTTAGGACAAACTACTATAACTTATGTACTATTTAGCATGTAATTGTAAGCGAATGAGTTAAGAGTAAATAAAAAATTAATACAATTTACTAAACGACTTTTTTATTACTTGTCACAGATAAATGGTGAACGGGTACCAGCAGACGTTTATCAAGACTTTAGAGATGCGGTTATCCGAATTCTAGGAATGCAAGATAATCCGCCAGTATTCGCTAATGGAAAAGTTGCCCCCGTTCCTGACGATGTAGTTTCGACTGAACTTCCACTTGTGGTAAGTACCTATAATAAAAGTTGAGTACAGTTTATTATCATCATCATCATCATTCCTCAACCTCTTCCATCCACTGTTGGATATAGGTCTCCTCCATGTTCTTCCACTGTTCTCTATCTTGCGCCTTCTGTATCCAATTTCCGACTGTTTTTCAAGTCGTCCATCCACCTTTTTGGTGCTCTGCCTCGGTGTCTTTTGTCTTTTCTAGATCTCCATTCTATGAATCTTTTGGTCTTTCGTAAAATCCGCATTTATTCAAAATACAGTTCAGTTCAAAACCAAGATAAAATACGAATACTAATCAATTGAATTTACCCTATTTTACTGTTTTCTATTATATACAGTCGTCTGTTTTTTTTTGTAGTTATAAAGTTATAAAATATCTATTCTTTTTACCGTACATTCTTTAAAAATTAATTTACTGGATGACCCTAACCTTGCGTGCCGTGACATAGCATAAAGGGTACTTTATTCAATAACAAAATGTCAAAAAACATTCAACTAGCCAGCACAGCATTATTTTTGATCGTCGATAATCATCACGATAAATCGTCGAATGCGAACGTAAACATAGGCGGGGACAATGGAGGGAAAGGACTATTTACTTACTTTATCTTTTTTATTTATATATACCAAATACAAATAAAACATTAGTATCAAGAGTAATATATACAGGAAAATACTTAAGGGAGCACAAGCAGGTGCGCCGACATTTAGAAAACCTCGTAGGTCCTAGCATTTTGTTTTAAGACCGTACACTACCCTGATATCATTTTGTAACGGCCTCCGATTTTCTGAGTCATCTTTTTCTTTTTCTTCTTCTCCTTCAGCTTTTCCCTTTTCATTTTCATCGTGTCTTTTTTATTTAAACATTTCTCCATAAGTCCTGTGCGACACAGTTCTTCTATCTTTTTCTTGATTTTTATTAGCTCTATCTTCTATTCCATACAGTTCTCATCTTTAAGTCTGACGTTACCAAACCATTATAGTCTTTTTAATTATAATACTTATCACGTCATAACTGATCTTGTCTCTTATAGTCTTACATAATATCCACCGTAGCATTTTTATTTCAGATATCTCTATCTTCTTTTCCCAAATCCTCTCTGCAGGCCACACTCATTAAAGCTAACCAACGCAGGTCTCACCACACTCTTGTATAAGTATCATTTATTTGAGCCTTTCGCCGATTTTTTCCAACACAGATCGAATATTATCGCTTCTAGTTAAACCAAACAACCTATATCCTGGGGAATATTTCTGGATGTAGTGTCACATTTTCCGTTATGTAGGAACGAAGGTATTTAATTCTTCTACCTGTCCTAGTTTAAAGATCAAATTACTTAATCGTCCTCATCCAAGATGTTCAAATTTTCCTACTTGCCAAATCCCATGCCACCTCAAAACCAATCACACTATTTCCTTCATCAGTTCTTATTCCCATCCCCATTCCCCCAATTTATTCTCACTCTTTGTCTAACAACATGTCTTTTTAAATCACCTCCAATTTGTCTACAGAAATCTCGAGCATAACGCAATCAAAGGCACTCCAAAATTCTTCCTCTGCTATTCTTTACACCCTACCTGTGGGTCGTAGGCACATATGATGACCTAGTTGGTCTTGCCTCTATTCAGTTGAATACTATTGTATCACTTTTTCTAGTTATCCTTGTTAGATGTTTCTTCCACAAATTTTTAAAATAACACTCACTCAATTTTTGCCATAACTCTTCCTAAATAAAGTAAATATATACTAAAGACCAGAGAAATTAGCAACAAAAAAGCCTTTTTCGTGACCCTCTAAAAGGTATCTAACAACACTTCTGATAAATTCAGTGATATATAAACATTGTAAGATCGCTATTTGATTTTAAATACTAAAGGTAAAGACTGGAAAATTATATGGAAAAGTGACACAATTTTGAGCAAAGGAGATACTCAAAAAAACCTGCCACCGACGAGGGCATGTACTCACCAATTCCAAAAACTAAAGTTTCATTCCCGCCTGCTAAACTTCTAAACATAGCAGGAGCAGGCAACAAACTTTTTGATGAGAACTGATATTCTCGAATATACCCCTATAAAATATCGTAGGCACTAGCCTGCACCTGCACTGCAAAAACGCTGAAAAGAGCCGTTCCTAACATACTTAGACCCTGTTATAATTAGTAAATAAACTATAAAAATGATAAATGGTAAAATATAACTTGGTTTTCTTCATGAAAAGTTAATACATAAATTTAAAACAAAAATATAAAAATTTTAAAAAATTAAAAAATGTACTTACTAATCAAAACTCAATCTTACCTGAGCCTAACTGCAAGCTAACAAACAACCCCAAATCTAGCTTTTACTGCAACCTCAACCACAAAACTGACTCTTCATCCCTTTACCAGATCCCCTGCTTGAAAAAAGGGGGCAGCTATACCTTAAAGAGGCGGAAACCTATAACGAGTTTGTCATAGCTTTTTTCATAATTACTTAAAAAGCATAAAAAATCTTTTAAAATAAATAGTTTGTTGCAAAAAGAGCTTCAAAAGTCGATTGTATGAAAATGATTAACCGTCCGTTGCACGAGTGAGGCCTGTCAGTCCAGGCAACACTCTGTTTTTGCATTAACTATTTGCTAAAATTGTATGATATTTTAGGTACCTTTCAGCGTTAAGAATCTGCATATATACACAGTATTTTATCAAAAAAAAATTTCTTCTTTAATTATTCCAAAAACAGTTTAAAAGTCAATTTTTTAAAAAATTATTAATAACTTTTCTTAAAATGCTCACAAAATTTTAATTTCGCTTAATAGTAGGAACAATATCACTATTTACTTAGCTATAAAAATTTCAAGAGGTCTATAATTTCTGAAAGCAGCAAATTAAAGAGAAAGTCTTATGTTATCAAATTAAATCATTTAGCGATTAAAAAATTTATATTAAATATTGTAAAAGAGGTTTAAGTAATGTGATTTTGAGCTTATAAACATTTAACCAAGCAATTTAATTAAATCAAGTCTGAGAGACTTGCTTACGGATGAGGAATGTCAGTTAATTTGGCGGTATGACTCGAATGTATATTTTTTTTCAATAAAATACTGTGTATATATGCAGATGCTTAACGCTGAAAAGTACCTAAAATATCGTACAATTTTAGCAAATAGTTACTGCAAAAACAGAGTGTTGCCTGGACTGACAGGCCTCACTCGTGCAACGGAGGGTTAATAATTTTCATACAATCGACTTTTGAAGCTCTTTTTGCAACAAATTAACAAAAATATCTTTTTTTGTTATTGTCTATCTATCTACAAACCCTAATTTTAAAGGATTTTCCATGTTTTTTAAATACAATTTTGTCACTTTTCCATATAATTTACTAGTCTTCACTTTTAGTATTCAAAATCATATTTAAAAGCAAATAGGAATCTTACATTATTTATATGTAAAAAATAACGTTTAATATTTTAGGTATTCTATTTATTACATATTGTTATCAACAAATTTATGAAAAGCAGTTGTTAGATTGTACTTATATTAACGAGTGTCATGGGAAAATCGTTATTTTCCTGTCTGTAGTATGAAACTGTAAAGGGAACCACAAACAAAGGAACAAACTGTAAAAACTGAAAATCTAAGTAATGTCCAAAAACTGAATAAAATAGCTACAACATTGATCAGAAATGGAAAAATATAAAAGTAGCAATATTTAAAACTGAAATTGAAAACTTAAACCAAAGAATAGAAAACATAAAGACCGGATGACTGAAGAAATACTACTATTAATGAATGAAAGACTCAAAACATTAAAAAAAAAACAATTAAATATAATGAAACTAATCGATTAATTAAAAAGAGAACAATAGAAGCTAAGGAGAGAATGTTACATGAGCAGTGCCAAGAACTAGAAGAAATTGAGAAAAAATATAACTTTTTTATTATGCCTAAAAGAATTAGAGGATGACCAGGAATGAGAAAAACACTTCAAACTAGGCAACTAAGAGTAAAAGTGGTGCACTTATAACAGATATAAACCAAATCATGTAGAGATGGACACAATATATAGCACAACTTTTTTCAGACAAAGAGAGAACAGAAACAAGCTAAAGGTGGTAAATCTCCCGGGCCTGATAAAGTTCCTATCGAATTACTAAAAATTGTGAATACTAATTGTGAATACTGATTGTGAATATTGATCTTCTTTTGGATCTATTCAATACCATATATAGAACAGGTATAATACCTAAAGAATGGCTTCAATCAACATTCATACTGCTTCCCAAAAAATCCAATGCAAAGGAGTGCAAATGAACATCGCACCATAGCCTTAATGAGTCATGTCTTGAAATTGTTTTTAAAAGTAATTCACAATGGAATACATAAGGAATTAAATGAAGGCATAAGTAATACACAAATGGGATTTAGGAAAGGTATGGGCACACGAGATGCACTGTTTGCAGTAAGTGTCCTTTTGCAAGATGCTTAGATATTAATCAGGAAGTATATGCCTATTTCATTGATTTTGAGAAGGCATTTGACAAAGTGCAGCATAATCGGCTTAAAGAAATTTTATAAAATAGACAGTAGAAACATTAGAATCATATGTAACCTCTATTGGAACCAAACAGCAAAAGTGAAAGTTGAAAATGAACTGAACGAGGATATCCAGATTCGGCGTGGGGTCCGCCAATGGTGTATTTTATCACCCTTGTTATTCAATTTATACAGTGAAGCCATCTCAGAATTAGCGCTTGCTGAGATCAGGTCTTATAATAAACGGTGAGCCACTTAATAACATAAGATATGCTGACGACACCGTTTTTCTGGCAGGAACACTAGAAGAACTGCAACACCTTGCTGAACAACTAAATATATATTGCAACGATTATGGACTAAAAATAAATTTGAAGAAAACCAAGTTCATGGTATTTACGTATGGATCACAGAAGATATTGATCAGACAAAAGAAATAAGATGCCACAATGAAATTGCACGGTCAACTTTTAATAA